AACTGAGATTTTTCAGAATATTGAACATTCCACCCCTTAAATGAAGTACGCGACCATTAAGTCACAAGTTGGTGGAGTTCACAACGATGGCAGAGCTCGAAGTCTTACCCTCCAGCTCACCCAAACCCTAAAGCTTGGGGCCAACCATTGGGTCTCAGGTCCAGTTTACGGTACTAGTTAATAGTTGAATTTTCTGGACTTACTTCGCTCTCAAAACGCATATAAGCTTACGCCCTTTTCTTTTTTTTTAATAGAAAGGAATTTTTTAAGGGAAAAAGAAAATAAAACCTGAAATTAAAATTAAAATTAAAATTATTTATACCTAATCACACATTTTAAAAAAATAATCACTAAACTACCTAAAGTTGGATTAAGATTTTTGTTTTTATTTTTGTATTTGAACAGATTTAAAATAAAGGGGACGAAGGATCGAATCCAACCCCAAAATAAGCTGAGGATACACCTATCAAAGTAACTAACGTCACTGCACCGAAAGGCCAGGTGCTAGTGCTGGACAAAGCTTACGCGAATAATACACGAGAATTCCAATAGAAATCCTTAACGCGTTCTGTGCGTAAAGGAAAAAGAAGAGCATGGTAGAATTTGTTGTGATTCCAAAAGTTGTCCTTTTAATAAAGGAATCACATGTTTATGAGCTGTCATACACCTGATGGTCTTCTGTTTATATGAAATGTTCAGTTTTTTCCAGAACAGAACGTTACCGAGCATTGTTGGAGGGATGAGAGAGAGATCTGTGCTCTGTTTCGTTTTTGGCCCTAAACGGGCAAGAAAGTTAAGAAATTAAGAGCGCTGACAGGCTGTTGACTCTTCTAGCCATTGGATCAACGGCCTTTTCAATGGCAAAGGTTAGATTTCTAGCCGTCGGCTATTTGTTTCCCTTTTTTCATCTCAATTTATTTTTTCTCGAATCATCTATAAATATAAAGTTTTGCAATTATATTTTCCAGATTTCTGGGTGCAAATGAGCACAGACTTTTGGGTTTGAAAACCATAGATTCTCATTCCAGAGAAATTATTATTTCACATCTTTTTGTTTGTATATGAGATTTTGGAATGTTTTGTTTGGAACTGTTTGAAGAGAAAATTAATTTTAAGATCAACTTTGAGATAGCTTTTTTGGCGTTTAGATCTGTTTAAGGATTTCTGGTTTCAGTTTCTTGCAGTTCGAATTTCTCCCTCCATGGAAACAGACAGCTTCCTCCTCCCACCGCCCATGGGATTCTGATTCTTCCAACGGTTAGTGTCAATGCCTTTTAATTTTTTATGCTACTTTTATTTGCGGCAAAAATATGACATAAGGGCCCGAACTTACACCAAATTCGTAATTTCGGACCCAAACTTCGACTGCACTCAATGAAGGTCAGGAACTCCACGAAATTCTCAAATAAAGTCCCAATTGGACGGAAAACTAACTTCCGGTAAATATCCTATTATTCCGTTAATGATCCGTCACATTTCACACCCGCCACTTGGAAAAAATTAGTTAAATGCTAATTTTTCGTCCCTCAACTTCATTGAGTTTCACTTTTTTGTCCCTCAACTTCATTAAATTTCACTTTTTTGTTCATAAACTATTTTTTTGTATTTTTTTGGCTCTTAAATTATTTTTTACACTTTTTTAACCCCTTAACTTTAATAACTACACAATTTTGATACTTTTATCAATTTAAGCCATTAACTCCGTTCACTTGGTATTTTTTATATTTTTTTGATGACATATATAATTTAACTGTAAAAAAATGATAACATAGATAAATAAAATAATATGTAAATAAATTTTTATATTTTTTATAAAAAAAAT